TTCTTATGAGTCGCAGCATACCTAGCCGCCGGACAACATTGTCGTGTGGTGCCACAAATGACCGTTTTTATGCCCACACGCCACAAATAAGAGCCATACCACACCACGTCTTGTCTTGTTTTAGTCGACAACAGCCACAAATAGGGCGCGGGATCCATACGCTCTTCGCTCGGCCTTGCATTCTTCTCAGCCCGTGATGACGCGGACGCCGCGCGACGAGACCTTGTGTGCCGCGAGGTTGCTCGGCTGCTTGATGAACATGGTATTGGGCGGGATGTCGAACTCGTGTGCGATCCATGCCATCATGGCCGGGTCAAACGCGCCGTGGATCGAGACAAAGTCCATTCTACAAGGTACGACTTAGCTCGTCCTTTTTGAAAGCAATCGAGGACATACTGAAGCTTGGGGTACATGCTGTCGAAGAGCGTGACCATGTCCCGCATCTCTTGGATCGCTGTCAAGGTCGGCTCGGTCTCGTCCGCGTACACGTGCACGAAGCGGAGGTGCTGCGTGATCTCGTTGGAGCGAACGTACATGATGGCCTTGTTCATCGTCGTGAGGTTGGGTGCTTTCACAAAGAAAATCATCGGGCGCTCGTTTATCGTCTTGATGGCCTGCGTGAGCTTGGCGACACGGTCGTTCTCGCGCTCCAGGTACCGCGCTTTTGGCTGCCGCACACGAGGTTGACGACGAGGATGAGCACGCGGAGGATCGCGACACGCTCGAGCATGCCAAAGACAACGGTGGCAATCGCAATGAGGTACAGGAAAAAGTACAAGAGCACTTGTGGGTTGCCGAGGAGCTGGCAAAAGAATCCGATACCAACCATGGTGACGCCGAGGATGCACGACCGCCACGGCGCCTGCACGTCGCGCGGAATGTCGGTGCGCTTGAGCTTGAGCGTGATGCAGCCCGCGCCAAAGAGAAGCATCATCGAGAGGAACGCAAAGGTAAAGACGCCGCCGAGGATCTTGATGTTGGCGTCCAGCACCAGAATGAGACTCGCGCTCACGAGGAAGAAGAGGATCGAGATCCAATGCGGTGTCCCGCGGCACGTGTTTTGGTTCGTGAGGAAGGCCGGCATGACGCGGTCGTTGCTGAGACGGAGGATGAGACCCGTGATGCCGACGAAGGACGTGAGGACTCCGGCTGAGAGCACGACGAGCGCATCAATCGCGATCCATATCTGGAGCCACTTGCCACGGGCAATGTAGCCCATTTGCGCAAGCACCGTGCTCTCGTTGGCGAGGAGGCCGTTGGGCGCGTGGAGCGGAAGCACGCCGAGACTCAGAAGCGACAAGAGGATGTCGTAGACCGTCGCGAACGCCCACATGTTCTACATCGAGTTGTGCGATCCGACAGCAGCGCATCGGCCGACATACCCGCATCGTTTTCCGAAAGACGCCTGGCTGCTCCTCGACAAAGTTGGACGAGTTTTCGAAGCCCGTGAATCCGAGCATCGCCGACGAAAACCCACAGAAAAGCGCCGTCGCGACATTGCCCGTGATCAAATTGCCAGCAAAGTTGACGTCGGGTAAGGGCTCGTGGTAATTGTCCTTGATGATAGCCGGGCGCTGAAACTAGAGAGGACAACAATATGCGACGCGTTCAATGCTCGAAATGCAACACCGTGTAAATGGCGCTGACGACCACGAGCACCGTGAGCGTCAACACGTGAAAGCTGAAGATGACGAGTGCGACGACCGACGACTCGCCAATGCCAATGATGTTCAAGACGGCGAAGAGTCCGAGGATTCCGATCGACGTGGCGAGGAGCGGTAGATCCGGGTACTAGTTACCCAGGAAAGAGCAGATACGGTATCGTTCGAGTGTAGCAGTCGTCTTACCTCGTACTTAGAAGTAGTAGGCAGCCGATGTGGCCGAGACCACCGCGGTTGCGAGGTACGAGAGGATGCTCATGCACGCCGCAATCGCGGCAAACCGCTTCGATGTGGTGTTGAGGAGGCAGTTGTACGAACCACCGTTGAGCGGAAAGGCCGTCACAACCTCCTCGTAAATGAAGCGGAAGACATAGAGCACAAGCGAGACGAGGAGGCAGCCGATGGGCGCAAGGTACCCGGCGGACGCGGCGACGAGACCAGCGGAGTAGAGGCAACTGCCGAGGAGATCGTTGCCCGAGATGGCGGTCGAGCGCCACTCGCCGAGAAGCTTCTTGGGGCGGTTGAGCGTAACACGGATCGCGTCGATTTCGTCCGAGGCCGCGCGGACGTTCTCGTAGCCGCAGTCTTTGGCAGGATAGAGGAACGACGGGCCTTGCTCGCTGTTGTTGGAGATGGCGATGTTGAGGTACCGCTTCGGGCCCGTGGGTGGAAGCTCCGGCGGTAGCGTGACCACGCTCGGCGACTCCATCTCCCCGTACTCGGCCGACATGGCAAAACCTTGAATGACCGACTACTTCCAGCCCAGCTCCAGCCGGATCCCGAAGCCGCGATGCCATTGGTGCGCGCTTGACCAATCCATGTGCAGATATCTTTATCCGGCGCCTGCAATTGGTCAACTGCCTTTCGATCTTTTGGCAAGGATGCGCACGTACATGTGTACGTTCTGCCGCGACTGGACCTACTACCGTCTCCACCGCAAGCACAAGCGCACCCGCGCCGACGCGCGCCTCGACGCTCTCGCGGCTTGAGCTTGCATTTCTTTCTATTTTGCATAATGAAGTGTGTTGGTGTAGCTTTTCAAAAAACTATTTGCCGGTACGCGGAAGAAGGCTGGAACCACCTCGACAGACGAGAGCAGAATGCAAAATGCGCCAGTCTGAGTACAAGGTCGTGATCGACAACTCCTACGATCTTGGGTTCGAAGTGCATGTGGCACGTCGGCCGCTGTCGCGTCGCAGGGCTTGACCGAAATTTTATCCGGATCCTAGTACGTGGCAGCATGGGCGCAGTTTCACCACAACTCGGGTTCACGAAGTCAATGGGACATGTCGAGCGGTCCAGCAAGTCTCGTTACTCGTTTTCTGCGCTACCAGACATCCTTGGTACCATGCCAGCCACGAGCCTCATTCCTGCTCGTTCGATCACAAACTGGATGCAACCGAGTTCATCGTCAACGTGTGGTCGAGTCTGGCCGCCGCCATGGGCAGCGTCGCGCACGTCTTGACGGCGACCGACCCGACGGCCCGCATGTAGATATCGATCGACACATGATTTTCAATCCTCTACAACGTTTTGGCTAGCATCTAAGTTGATTCGCGTGGGCTAGTTGAGTAGCAAAGAGGGTGAGGCTCGGAGAATGTTGCCGTCGTCTCAACGGGCGTTTGCTTGGTCCGGATAATGCGCTCCGCACAGCCTGCCAGCTCAGAGTCGTCCGGATACAAGAATCGAATCCAACGGGCTCGTGGGCTCGCGATGCCATTCTCCAACAAGCCATGGAAGTGACGAACGACGTCAAGAAGGCGCAGAAGCGCATTGCCGGCAAGAAGTACGCCGCTGCCAACAAGGAGAATGTTGCGGCTAAGAGCTGAGCGTACTACGCTGCCAACGCAGAAAAAGAGCGGGCCCGACACAAGGCGTACGCCGCAGCCAACAAGGACAAGATGGCGACGAAGGACAAGAAGTACAAGGCTGCGAGCAAGGAGAAGCTTGCGCCCACGAAGAAGAAGTACTATGAGAAGAACCGCGCACAAGTGTTGGTGAAGAAGAAGGAATACTACCAAAAGAACAAGGACGTCATTCAGATCAAGGGTAAGGCGTGGTACAAGGCGAATCGGGCGCCTCGAGCGGCATGCGACCGAGCTCGGTACGATGCCCTTGCAATCAAACCGAGCGGTTTTCTCATGTCTTTTCCTAGTTACGCGCGAAAGAAGGCGATTGCAGCCGGCGAGGTCCCGCCCCCAAAGCCCAAACTCGCCGACTTCCGAGCTCAAGACGACGCCTCTGGCAGCGTTGCTCCGGCTGCGTCGACGGATGCGGCTCCACACGACCTCCTTGACGAAGACGACGACGACGTTTCCCATCCCTTGGCCGCCACCACCAAGAAGGTTGTCATGGTCAGCTTTACGGACGAGCATCCGTTCACATGCGCGAGCGCGGGCCCGAGCCGTGCTGCGACGAGTGTGCGCTCTTCCAGCCGAATGCGCTCACGTCGGCGACCAACACGGTGCTCTTGGCGGGCACGTACATGTGTACGTTCTGCCGCGACTGGACCTACTACCGTCTCCACCGCAAGCACAAGCGCACCCGCGCCGACGCGCGCCTCGACGCTCTCGCGGCTTGAGCTTGCATCTCTTTCTATTTTGCATAATGAAATTTGTTTTATCTCTTGAGTACTTCTTTGTACGCACATCGTGAGCAGCATTCCATCGGAATAGAGTCGTCAGTCATGTCCAAGGACAACTCGCAGCAGCGTCGATGTCCGTGTGAAAAGCCAATCAAGCATATCAGGTTCAACGTCCGATAGCGACGAGGCTTGTTCGTGCAGCTTCGAATCGGAGGAGGAGCCATGTCGGCTACCATGCTGTCGCGCTCCTCAAGCCCACGAGGCATGCAACATTTGAACCCCGTGCGTCAACGTCGCATGCGAAGAGCCAAATTCAGTTGAACACGCGAGGTTTATTGGAGGTCGCCGCTATTACAATCGGAGATTCACACAGCACATTGCAGCAAGTCTAGTCCTTGTACTGGAACACGGTCGACTGTCAACTCAATAAGCCACGTCGAGCGCCGCCTTGG